TGCAGTGGCACGATCTCAGCTCACTGCAAGCTCCGCCTCCCGGGTTCACGCCATTCTCCTGCCTCAGCCTCCCGAGTAGCTGGGACTACAGGTGCACGTCGCCACACCTGGCTAATTTTTGTATTTTTAGTAGAGACAGGGTTTCACCGTGTTAACCAGGATGGTCTCAATCTCCTGACCTTGGGATCCGCCTGCCTCGGCCTCCCAAAGTGCTGGGATTACAGGCGTGAGCCACCGCGCCCGGCCCTCACTTTTCTTTAGAAGCATGTTACTCTTCCAAGACAATCAACAGCTAACTGAGTTCTCATTAGCCGGGCATGATGGCAAGTGCCTGCAATCCCAGCTACTCAAGAGGCTGAGGTACGAGAACTGCTTGAACCCGAGAGGCAGAGGTTGCAGTGAGCGGAGATCATGCCACTACACTCCAGCCTGGGCGACAGAGTGAGACTCTATCTCAAAAAATAGCTTAGAAAATTTAAGGACTGAATGTACTTTGTGTTGAGGAATAATTTACCTCTGTTTCCGAATATGTGATCTACCTGGGGTTTGACTCAGGGCCCTAGTTGCAATAGCAATATGATATCATTGCATGAGCTGACTGGTCCAGAATAGAATGTCATCATCATAAATTATGTTTTAAAATTAAACTTTTAGTCTAGAGGAACTTCTTAACAATTGTAGCAAGTGTTTATAGATTTCAAAAAAAAAAAAAAAACCTTTAACATTGAGAATTGGGTAAAAGTTCCAATAACTTTCCAATCTAAAAAAATCACAAGATGATTACTTTTGTCCCTTCCCTTTGTTAAAAACCCAATGTGGATATACCCTAGCAAACTGTCTTCCCACAATTTCTTTCAAAAACGTTTAAACACTTTTTAAAAAAGCAATTTGTTTCCCACTTAAAGTTTAAAAGGTACGGCCAACCTCTAGTCCTATACAGGCCTGCGGGAGTTCGCAGCAGGATTCTCATCCTGTGCAATCTGATAGTAACAGATCCCCCATTCTTGTTTAAGAACTCTCCCAAGAAGTTAAGGTTCACAACACAAACATACTCAGAGAAAGGCATTGTAAACAGAAACGCAATTGCAAATATAGTGCAGAATTAAACAAATTCGTTTATGGTCCTATGAATGTAAAATAGCAAGTCAGATGGTTATCTCGGATGTCATCCAACATTCTGGACTGCAGCAACATTCTGGCTATGATATTAAAATAGAAAAACCTTTGCAGAGCGTTAACCTATCATTACACGGAGTAAATGGCATGGCGCTGCCACCTAATTAGCAGTGTGGCTTGCATCTATAAAATAGAATTAGCACGACTGCTCCTTTTTTATTATTAGTTTGTGTTTCCAGAAAGGTATGACCTTATCTGTATGGTTCTGTTCATTTACGCCCATCTACAAAGGATTTAATTATATTCTTTTAGGTCTCTACACTAAGGAAATTGAAAACTGCTACTGCAAAATTAAAAATGCAAAAGAAATTAGTGAGCAGATTATTTACGCCATCACCCTCCTCCTTTTGGAGACAAAGACTGGAAACCTGTCTAAATAAATAAGGCATAAAATTTTCAGAAAAGAAAACTCCAGACAAGAAAATTATTACCATTCTTCTTTTCTTCTTTCCCACATATATTCTGCAAGTTTCTCTAGTTGTCAAAAGGGAAATCTATAAATACTATAAAATTCCTGAAAGTTACATAGCATTAGAGTCAGCAGCCAGAAAATAGCAACTTACATCTGAGGAAGGTGATTCCAGAACAATGCCGAATCCTAGAACGCGGCTCTCCTCCGGGGAGGTGTGCTCGGCTGCCTGGAGAGCAGATACCTCAGAGGTCACCGCTGCCTTCTTCTCCATCTCTGACCCACTGGGCTTCTGTTTCACAGTAAGAGGTTCCACAGTCTTTGGGGGCACTTTTTTCTTTTTATTTCTCTTTCGTGAGACAGCAGTTCGCTGGGAGCATATAAGGGAAATTGGGGGTTGTTGTCTGTTTTGAGTTCCAACTGCGAATAATAAACAAAAATATGGTACAGGCACGTGTGTCTGACTGAGGAAAACTTATCTCCGGTCTATCCATGTGATCTACAACTGAAACCGAAACGAGGAAAACTCCAGGATGAAGCACACTAAATAAATCTCCCACTGGACCTAATGGTTACCAAACACAGGCTCTGAAGCACTTTCAGGTCCTAAAGGCAGAACAATACTCAGGAGAAAGCGTTACTGCAGGTGAATCGTGATAGCATACTGCTGTTGGGTTCGATGCTGGGAAAGCATCGTGAGCTGTGAGAAAACAGAGAGCATGGCTTCATAAATCATAGGACGGTTTTAAACAAATGAGAACTTCGGAACTTGAATTTAGGTGGAGATGGCTGTGCTTCCTGGTCAGCCTGTTTCAGGACTATTCCAACTGTTGTTTGGGGTTAGACTGATCAATTTCTAATAATCTACAGGTGCCAGAACTGACAAAGATGAGACAGCGATGATCATTTGGGAGAGACTAATCAAAAGTGGCAGTCTGGGATGATTCTACAATAGGGACCAGTAAGCATGTGGGAAAAGCCTGTTAGTTACTTAATTAGGACCAGCGAATCCTTCCTCACCAAACAAATATTCTCCACACATCAGCCACCTCCAGAGCACCCTTCTACATGGCCTCAGACCAGGCCACTTCTTTAGACCTCGGTTTCACATAATTGAAGGAGCGATAATATCATTCTGTACAAGTCAAGCAAGTCAGTGAAATCCAGACACAGTTCCAAAGATGAAAAGCACAGTGCAGGAACCAAGTATCCAACCTGATTCTATACTTAAAGAAATCCAGGATGGTAAATTATAGTTCTCACAGGTGCACTCTGAGAAGTAATGTCTGCTAGCCATTTAAACATACTCTCTTGGAAAGTGTCATTGGAAAATATGGAATCATTGTTTAAATCCTCAAGTATTAATATAGCTTCCTAAATATGACCATAGGATGTCTCTGCTTTTCAATAGGAATGAACCTATAAGACAAGTGTAAACTAAAGGTCTTTAAAGGCACATAAACATGGATCACCTCCTCTTACCTCTTATCAGTCCGAAAATAAAGAATATTTACACTTTGATCCTGATATTTTTGTCTCCAAACTCAAAAGCAATTCATAAATATTAGAAGCAAACTAATTGCACTACATAAGAGCACAGAAGCTTTTAAACCGGTAATTAGTCTAGCTCACTGGCTCTCGACCTTGGCTGTACATTAGAATCACTCGAGTTTAGAAAAACTGAGATGCTGGGCCAGGCATGGTGGCTTACTCCTGTAATCCCAGCACTTTGGGAGGCCAAGGCGGGCGGATCACGAGGTCGAGAGATCGAGACCATCCTGGCCAACATGGTGAAACCCCGTCTCTACTAAAAACACAAAAATTAGCTGGGCGTGGTGGTGGGTACCTGTAGCCTCAGCTACTCGAGAGGCTGAGGCAGGAGAATCACTTGAACCTGGGAGGTGGAGGTTGCAGTGAGCCGAGATCGCGCCACTGCACTCCAGCCTGGCGACAGAGCGAGACTCCGTCTTAAAACAAAAACAAAAATAAACAAAAAAACTGAAATGCCTCAGCCCCACCCCAAACTAAATGAACTGACACTTCCAGACATGCCGCCTGGGAACCAGCATTGTCTGAAAGCTCTTCCAGTGATTCTGCTGTGCAGCCAGAGTTGGCAACTTCTCTTTGCTCTATTTGCATTCCCCCTCAAGGTTGGGTCTGTACCCTCAGAATAAAAGGGACCCCGAAGAATGATCACGATGGCCTAGGCCCCAGGCCTCGCTGAGCGTCATGATTCTAAATTAAAAATGAAAATGTTTTGGTTTAAGGAACATGGGGACTATCTGAGGTTTTCTTCTTTTGCAAATCTAGACACAGCCCGAGTCTCTGGCATACAGATCTTACCTCTAGGTCTTATTCCTTGTCTTCTTAAAAGAAAGGTGAAACTTTCTAAATGTAATTTAAATCTAAGTCTTCAGGCATTAAACCTTAAGTAAATCTACCCACGACACAAATTTTTAAGTTTAAGAAAATTAAAGGAGAGTAATTTATTCAGTTTATCCTTTGTGCCATCCTACAGCTTTGGAATCGTTTACCTCCCTAATCTGCAAAGGTTCAGAAAAGAAAACACAGCGACAAAGTGGCATTTACTTAATAGATTCTAAAAAGGCTTCCGTCAAGGATTTAAATGGTTGCAATTTGTAGTTTGCCATTTCAGTAGTAAGGAGCTTAAGTGACAAAACAAATCATTACAATTTCATATGCATATTTTCTTAAGTGCGAACAAATTCCTCCTTGGAGAAAAGAAACCGAACATCATGAAGTAACCTTTCTTTCTGAGCTCCTTATTTAGGAGATGTTAACCTCTGCCAGGTTAATAAGAACACAGATTATCATAGTGGAACAAGGTGAGTCCAACGCTTACTGACCTGAGCAAAATGCTTCCTTAGGGTAAAACCAAATTCAGTGCTTAAAAAGATGCTCTTTTTCAGAAAGTAGCTCACATTACTTCAATGTGATCTTGGGTGACTGATAAATCTAAGTATTAAGCTTTTTATATCAAAACCACATCACTGAATATTAAAATTATACTAGAATTCACTAAATGGCATCCTGAACAGCCTCTGAGTGACGACCTTCTGGACTACCATTCTGAGGAAAGGGCAGGAAAGCTAGTCACGACATGGCTAAGAGCAAGTGGTGATGTCCCTTGACAAGAGGGAAAACTTAATACAATGATTTATTTCTTGTACCTGTGACAAAAACAATTCTGTTTTCCTTCAGTTGTGAAGATCAGAAAATACAGCTGCTATAATGAAGACCTAGACTTCCAGACTTCCATAGAACGCTCCATGGACTTAAAGGCCACGCTAATGAAACAGCTTAGGCTTGTACCATGCCTTATTAAGTTCATTTACAACCACTACATCATTCTATTTTGACAACAGTCCTGTGAGTTCGACATGAATTCTCCATTTACAGACAAGAAACAGGAAGCTCAGACACGCCACACAGCATCAAGAGCAGAAATTGGCGTCCAATCCCAAATTATAAATCCACCGCTCTTCCATCCCTCAACTTGCCTGACGGCAGTGAAAACAAAAAGGAGTAACATAAACAAAGACGACAGAACGGGAGGATCTCTGAGCTTCCGCATCCTGAACAGGAGAGAAAAGCCACAAAGCACAGCCTGGGGCTCCACATTTCTTATCTGCTTAGTCCTTGAACACTGAAGCCCATGCTTCCTCCAGGGCTCCTCCATACACAATTGTTCCCAAATTTAATTAACTGACATTTGCGAAATACTAGGAGATCATGGAATGAAGTCTATTGAGTACATACACATAATTATATGAGCTGTATCAGTTGCAAGACAAAATATGTTTGATTTGCTAAAGGAAAAACGGATTGTAGAGAAAGCTGAAAAAACAGATACTTGAAAAGGCACAGCAAGACAGCAAGGTGAGAAGAAGGCTTTAATAAAAGCACAATGAACATTCCAATGGAAGATGTCAGATATGCATTAAAAATCAAAGGACTCATTCCGAGGCCTGATCCTTGTACCTGCTTGAATTTGCATTAATTTCCTCATGGTCTTGAGTTCTTGCAGAATGGCCTGCAACGTTGACTGGCAGTTACAAGTGCAGCAGTTTGATCCAGCTGATGAATTCACCACTGGAAGTTCTCCTGAGCATGAAAGAAAAGAATGACTACTCCAAACAAACCAAAAAAAAAAAAAAAAAAAAAAATCATAAAGGGGTGGGGAGAAAAAAGAAAGTATCTTGGCAGGATTTTGAAGCATGTGCAATTATGATGAAGCTGTGCCTAAGGAAAACGTACCCACTAATTATCACAAGCTAAATCTGGGGGTCTGACTTTATCTAATTATCCAGGCTCCCATACTGTAAGGTGCGTGCTGTGGCGCGGTGTGGGAGCCTGCACGCACACACGCACACAATGAGTGGGCACAGCAGGCCTCCCTGTTGTCAGAGCCGTTCATCTCAAATAACAATACCTCAAAAACTCACTCGAAACACACTCACGCTAGTTCACACAAAAAGCAAGCCCCGAGAACAGCCTTGCAAAAAAAATTTGGTAGCTGTGTTTAAGAGTTCATATTAAAAATTAAATGAGTTCTATTGAAAATAGTTTTGATATTAAGCACATTATTTCAAAAACAAAGAACTGTGCACCCATGAAAAGTTTTAGAATACTCTCTGGGTGTGGCGTTTGGGGTGGGGAAGCACAGAGGAGCAGGGATGGGAGGATATATTCAAATTGGATGGGTTTGAGGGTACTGGTGGGCTGGCTGGTTTTTCTTCAACTTAATCAAGAAAATCTTTCTACCTCTTTTCTCCATTCCCATGTCTTATCTTTGCCTTGCCATAGCCTCTTTTGCACTGTTTACATTTAACGCCTTTTCCTTAGTAAATCTATCTTATTCTGTTTCTCTCATAGGTAAGCAAGTATCTTCCATTGTCCTTAGAATAAAATGGGACATGTGGACACTGCTCTTACAGTGGGTTCCCTCCAGCACCTATTCACCTGACCACCATAAAATGGAGCAGTTTAGAGACTTCCAGCGCTTACATTTTCTCACAGGCCAGCAAGGTAAGTTCCATGGATTTGTTCCAATTACATGTTTTATTATACTTTATATACCTTAAATCCTGTAATAGGCATTATTTGGGAATACTGTAGAAAAATTCACCAGAGCAAAACCATGAAATACTTCAAGATAACTTAGTGATTGTAGTGGTACAATTATTTACATTCAAAATTGTAGCAAGATTGTAATGTTACAACTTTAAAATTGTAAATAATCCCAATTAAATACTAAAGTAGTCACAGTTATATGTAATGTATTTCTTTTTTTTTGAGACAGGCTCTCAGTCTATTGCGCAGGCTGGAGTGCAGTGGCATGATCCTGGCTCACTGCAACCTCCCCCTCCCAGGCTCAAGCGATTCTCATGCCTCAGCCTCCCAAGCAGCTGGGACTACAGGCATGCGCTGCCACGCCCGGCTAATTTTTGTATTTTCTAGTAGTGATGGGGTTTCGCCATGTTGGCCAGGCTGGTCTTGAACTCCTGGCCTCAAGCAATCCACTCATCTCAGCCTCCCAAAATGTTAGGACTACAGGCATAAGCCACCACGCCTAGCCATATTTCTACAGAAAACATAAAATCGATATCTATGCTCAAACTGATATGGGGGAATTTATGTTTGCAACTTTTACTAACTTGATACTTTTCAAAGTAAATCCACTGTCCCTGCTGTATACTGGGAAACTGAACACTGTTTACCCAAAACTTACTGATGTGGGGTTTATTAACTTCATTCATACCTAAGGGTACCTAAGGGTATTTTATTTCTCTTATTGTCTCTTCCATGGTAGTAGAGTTAGGAAGGTCTTAAAGAATATTTCTAGTCACTATTCTAAGTACCATCTTCATCATTTTTAGAGGACAAAACCAAACCTTTTCAGCTTGTTATAAATCATTTTCTAATTTTAAAGAGAACTGACTTTTTACTTTTATGGAGGAGTCTTTAAAGAGCTGTGTCCCTCTAACCTGGATGCATGCCAGCGTGGGAACTTTGATACTGGCTTATGTAATATTGAAAGAAAGACAAGACACCCATACATCTCTGGGGTCCTTCGCTGTCTCATCAATGTCTCAGGATGGCTTTTCATGCCTCTGAACCGCAAATTGCGGTTTTAAAAAAAGTCAAAACAGTTCTCTTTTTCTTGAACGATATTGTGAAATGAAAATGAATGGAAAAAAATCCTTAACTTTTTTAGGAAACTGAAAATGCTTTCTTACCTTTTTCTTGTTCTCTTTGTGAAAACATAGATCTGCACATCTCTACATAGTTTTAGAACAAATATTATAGCATCCAATGTGGCTGGATAGAAAACTAATATGACCACAAAAGCATCAGGTTTTTTTTCCTTAAGCTTTGAAAAAAAAAATTGTCATTTGATTCTTTTCTTAACAATTAGGAAACTTAAATTGAGAAAATTTTACTTTAAAGGAATACTTTCCATTGCTAATGAAGCACGTTATAAAATATGGATCACGGGGTTCAGTACTGGTGTGGGATGCTGGATTATCACTGACCCTCCCCCGCCCCTGCCTTTATCTGGGACTCTTCTGATAATGAGAAAGGTGAAGGAGTAACCAAGAGGATATGTTAGTAACACACCATAGGACCAGGAAGCTTCTTTTAAAGACAATGGGGAGCTCTTTCTGCCCTAATGTTTGTTTTTTTTGTGACAGTAATATCTGTATATGGGCACAAAATGATCATTTTTACTTCTTAAAGGGCTAAAATCTCTACCAGGAAATCTTCACTTATAATATAGAACCCCCTGTCTTTCCTAATTCTCAATTCTGTTTTTTAATAGTCTTCAACTCTTTCCTTTGTGTCTCCCTGTCTTTTAAAGTAACTCAGCAAAGGCAGGTAATTATGGGAGGGTTTAATAAATTGAACTCAACACACTGAATATTTAGAAATAAAACACAACGGTACAAACCCCCATGAGAGCCTTCTGAATGTTTGTTGACAACCATACCATTGGAGCTTGCAGCAGGGTGGGGCTGGCTTTGGAAGGTTCTAGAACGGGTGCCATACTGCCCTGAGAACTGTCCACTCTGGGGCGGTAGCTCATTCCACACACCACGTGAAGACGGGTGGAGGCTCTGTGGGGCCTCAGCAGAGGAGTTCAAACGCGGAGGCCAGACTAAATCCAGGTCCTGGGGCTCTTCTTTTAGTTTCTCTCCTTCTTTGCCAACTCGCTGATAGATCCGCCCAGTGCTGTCGTTCAGCAATCTTCTCATCCCTGTAATTTGCTTTTTTATTTCCATGCTTTCATCTCCTAATGGAAACAGGGCCAAAGTTAGCACTCTAAATTAGTGAAAAAGAAAAACAGTTCACTAACCAAAAACAAGAGAAAGAAAAAACAACCCTTCTTTGGAAATAAGATGACTGATTCTATACACTTAATCTGTAAAATGCAAAGGCAGGAAAACTGACTACGGTCTGAAAAAACCCACCATATTCCTGGTGCCTCTCATTTTAATCTCTGCAAGTCTCCTATGATAAAAGAAGTTTCTTGAGAGTGTGTCATCAGGAACAAACATCACATTCCCTCTTTGGAAGCATTTTCTGAGTGAGAAGGTGATGAGGAAACAGGCTGAGACAGAAGGTCAGGGATAGAACTGGACAGCGGAACCCCTCTACTCTGATGTGCCACAGCCACCCGTGAGGAACGGGCAGGTCACTAACGCGCTCTGCTGTCTTGTCAGCTTCAGCAGGCGGGGCGAGGACAAGGAAGCAAGCCTGGACTGGCAGGGATGCAGGGCTTCACTACTGACACAATGTCCTCCAGGATGACACGCTGCTGCCGCTGGAGACATCACCTTCAGAGAGGATGGCCGAGGAGAGAGAGAGGCGCTGAGTGTGGCAGCACGGCGAGCAAGGGGGCTCTGTCTTTCTGGCACCCTGATTCCCATCACATCAACCTGGTGATGACCGAGGGGTCCCTGCCACTCGAGGTCACTGGCGGTACCAGCACTGGAAGGGCGGAAGTGCAGCCTCCCCACCCCGCCCTCCCTCCAACGCCAAACGCACTGCCACCTCCCCTGCAGCATAACTACGTGTGAGAGGTCACAGGCAACTGTGAAATCCCACCTCACCTACACTGACTTCTTTTTTTAAAGATTTTTCTCCCAACTCAGGAATTTTTTTTTAAATTAAAGAACTTCTATATTGCACTGGGAGGACTTAATAAATATTACTTAAAGATGTCTATAATATTGTACAGATAGAAAATATTTTCGGCCGGGCGCGGTGGCTCATGCCTGTAATCCCAGCACTTTGGGAGGCCGAGGCGGGTAGATCACCAGAGGTAGGGAGTTCGAGACCAGCCTGACCAACATGGAGAAACCCTGTCTCTACTAAAAATGCAAAATTAGCCGGGCATGGTGGTGCAGGCCTGTAATCTCAGCTACTCAGGAGGCTGAGCCAGGAGAACCCAGCTCACCCTGCGGGGAGAAGGTTGTGGTGAGGTGAGATCGCGCCACTGCACTCCAGCCTGGGCAACAAGAGCAAAACTCCATCTCAAAAAAAAAAAAAAAAAGAAAGAAAATCTTTTCTATCAATAATAATATCAAAGGATAATGATATCTATTAGGAGCTATTTCAAACACATTATCTTCTTAAACTGTGCATCAGCCAATATCTTCCTGAAGATGAAGAGAAAAGGATTTTTTTTCCTCAAACCCAGAAGATAAAATAAAATCTTAGGCCACTGCTAGGCATGGTGGCTCACATGTGTGATTCCAGCACTTTGGGAGGCTGAGATGGGCAGATCACTTGAGCTCAGGAGTTTGTGACCAGCCTGGCCAATATGGAGAAACCCCGTCTCTACAAAAAGGACAAAAGTTAGCCCAGCGTGGTGGTGTGTGCCTGCGGTCCCAGCTACTTGGAGGCTGAGACAGAAGGATTGCTTGAGCCCTGGAGGCAGAGGTTGCAGTGAGCCGAGATCATGCCACTGCACTTCAGCCTGGGTGACAGAGGCAGACCCTGTCTCAAAAAAAAAAAAAAAAAAAAAATTCTTAGGCCAGGGTATGTGCGTGTAAACATTCATGCAGTTACTCTAATAAATGCTTGAAATTTAAACTAAGAAAAAGAAAAGGCTAACAGACAGCATCTGTTAAGAAAAATACAGCTCCTACAAATAAATACAGCACATTCAATATAATGATGTTTTAATGCACTTAGGATCATATAAGCGAAGTTTCGCTGTAGAACTGGTAACTGCACAATAACCTAGCCATTTTGTGCTTTCAAGTTAGATATATAGCTTATTAATACATGTGTTATGTTACTAAATAAGGAAGGTTATTTTGAATTTACTGTTCACTATTTTGAAGTAAATATCTTTAGTTTTTTAAAATGATACTAAAAACATTACAGAATATATTAATTCTGTCTAACTGAACATGGGTAAACACAGAAATAACACAGATTTCCAAATTTACAATATTGCTATGTGTTGTTGGCATATGCTTGAGAGGAGAAATATTCTAATTTGAGAAAAAACTATTTCTACTTCAAACCCCTGTGAAATTTACAATATATAAACAATAAATCATATTCCAGATTTTATGAGAATGAATGACCAAGTGAAATTTAAATAATGCAGAGTCAGCAAAATTTACTACTCTCTCAAGAGGCTATGGAACAGGGTGTGTCTGGAAGAGGTCCCAGAGGAATCCTGAAAGATAAGCCCACAGGCAAATGTGGCATTAATTTCAGCAACCAGACACATACATTCCCGGCTAGTTAACACCACAATTCAAGCAAAAGGAGGTATCTTTTCTGTGTGGTTTCCACTCACAGCCCTCCCCATCAGGCCAGGCGCACCTGCATTGAGGGCTGTGCAGAGCCTTCGCTGACACAGGTTGGTGGCCGCCTCCCCCGACCCCAGGTTCCCTGAAAAGAGCAGTCATAGCCAGAACACATGGGGCAGACACCCATCCTGGCTCTCGAGTCCAAGCCAGCTTGCTTCTCCACGCTAACTGACACATCACAGGAGAACGGATGTGTCTCCTGTCAAAGGTCCTGCCTCCACTTTGTAGATAGAATGCTAGGATACAGTGCTACCATTAGGAACAGGCAGGTGTCATAAGGATTCTGGAACCTTCCGAGGGCAAATCTGCTTTGTCATGACCTCAGTTTCAGAGTTCCAGAACTTTTGCCTATGAAAAGTACATGGCTGAAAATACAACCTGAGTTTTCCGTAACTTTGTATTTTCATTTTGACAACCAGCACCCTAAGCTGCAGGTGGTGATGGGGGAGGAAGGTGGCAGGTGTGAGCGGTTCTGACAGTGGGCCGCCCCTGCCGTGTGCAGAAACATGTCTCCCATAGGCAAAACAAAATGAAACAAATACACAAAAAATCAGGACGTGGGGGTACTGAGGAGGAAGAAACAGTGCTGAAAGGAACAGGGCAGGAGGCCAGAAGCAGGTCTGTCCTCAGAGGAAGTAAGCTCATGGCTTAGCTCACTGTGGCACATTTTAAAGGATGGAACACGGGGCCGGGCACAGTGGCTCATACCTGTAATCCCAGCACTTTGGGAGACTGAGATGGGCGCATCACCTGAGATCCGGAGTTTGAGACAAGCCTGGCCAACACAGTGAAAGCCCACCTCTACTAAAAATAGAAAAATTAGCTGGGCATGGCAGAGCGCGCCTGTAGTTCCAGCTACTCGGGAGGCTGAGGCAGGAGAATCACTTGAACCCGGGAGGTGGAGGTTGCAGTGAGCCGAGGTTGCACCACTGCACTCCAGCCTGGGCGACAGGGTGAGACTCCATCTCAAAAAACAAACAAACAAACAAAAACCCAACAACAACTTAAAGGATGGAACACAGAAAACTGCAGTAACTGCAGAAGTCTGTGCTGAGAGGAGAGCTGAGAGGTGAGCGGAGAGGTGAGCGGAGAGGAGAGTTGAGAGGTGAGCGGAGAGGAGAG